CTGAGTAAAGATTATCGTAATTTCTTTGCAATTCTTTTTGTTCTTACTATATGTACCAATAAGGATATACAATCAGAGTACTATGTTCTACAACCACTTGAAATAATTTTCTCTGTCATTATTTTTTTTTTTTTTTTGAGACAGGGTCTTGCTCTGTTGCCTGGGCTAAAGTGCCATGATGTCATCATAGCTCACTGCAGCCTCAAACTCCTGGGCTCAAGTGATCCTCCTGCCTCAGCTTCCTGAATAGCTGGTACTACAGATATGCCATGATGCCCAGGTAATTTTTCTATTTTTTGTAGAGATAGGGTCTTGCTATGTTGCTCAGGCTGGTCTCCAACTCCTGGCCTCAAGCGATTCTCCCTCTTCAGCCTCCCAAAGTGCTGCAATTACAGGTGTGCGCCACTGCTCCTGACCTCCTTTTTTTTAAAAAAAAAACCATTTTTGACATACGATTATGATCATTTCTTTCCATTTTAGGGTTTTCTTTTATTTTATTTTTGAATACAGTAAAACATTTACACAGTTCACATGTCAAAACATACACAAGAAAATGCCAGAGAAATCTGCCTTTTTAGTTTACTGGTTTACCTTTCCAGTGCCTATTTTTGCATATGTATTTTTATTTCCTTTACTTTCTTACATTTATGGTAGTCTACTATACATGCTATTATGTACCTTGCATTTTCTTCTTCACAGTATATCCTGGAGGTTACTCTACTTCAATTCATAGAGATCTTTCTCATTATCTTTTAAAGTTGTATAGCACTCCATTTTTTTGAAACAGGGTCTCATTCTGTCACCCAGGCTGGAGTGCAGTGGCACAATTAAAGCTCACTGCAGCCTGGAACTCCTGGCCTCAATTGATCCTCCCACCTTGGCCTCCCAAAATGCTTGAATTACAGGTGTGAGCCACTGTGCAGGGCCAGCACTCCATTTTTGGCTGTGAAATAGTTTATATAGCTTCTATCGAAAGACATTTGGGTTGATTCAAAATGTTTTCTCTCTCAAATAAAGCTGCAGTGGATAATCTTGTGTGTGTGTGTGTGTGTGTGTGTGTGTGTGTTTATAAAGGTACAACTTTTGAGTAGATTCTCTAATATAGAATTGCTTGGTCAAAAGGTAAATGCATTCGGTAATTTTATGTAACATTTTCATATTTCTTCTCATAGTGGTTGTACATTTTATCCTCCCACCTTATTATTCATAGCCTCATCAGTAAAGTTCATTGTTATTGATGCATTTTTTATTCCAATTATACTCTCATATTATTTACAAAGAGTGTTGCATTTTTCTTCCTAAACTCTTTTGCCTCCAGTAGTTTCCTTTTGTCTAATGGCATTGGCTCATACCTCCAATACAATGTTAAGAATAGTGGAAATAGTGAGATCCTTTTCTAACAGTAATGGGAATGCCTCCAATGACTCCCTATTAAGTAAGATGCTGGCTTTGTTCACTTTTATTTTATCATGATAAGGAAGGACCAGTACCTATTTTATTAAATGTTTTCTATAGAAATGGGTTTTGACTATTGTTGTTACAGACTTACCAGGGTTCATTGCCTGCTGCCCAAGAGAAAGCCAATACACTGAGAGAGCAGGGGTTACAGCAAGGAAAGAGTTTAATATCACAGGCACCATGTGAGGCAACAGGGGAAAGTTCTCAAATCTATCTCCCTGAGAATTTGGGAGAAACAGTTTTTAAAGACAATTTGGTGGGCAAAGGCTAGGCAATTTGATCTGCTGATTGGCTGGGTTCAGGATAGAACCATAGAGGTATGGAAATTGTCTTCTTGTGCTGAGTCAGTTCCTGGATGGGGGTCATAAGACAAGTTGAGTTAGTTCCTTGATATGGGCCACTGGTCTGGGTGGGTCAGCTGATCCACTGGAATGCAGGGCCTTCTCAAAAACTAGCCTTAAGTTTCACAAGGGTGATGTTATCTATGGGAGTAACTAAGAAAGTTAAGAATCTTCATGACCATCGACTATGTAACTCTTGAGTAGCAGTTACAGGAAAGCAAGCTAGGGGACGATGGCTGGTTATATACATATTTTAACTATGCTTATACCTTTGCGGAGTCCAGGCCCCTGTGATAGTTCCCACCTTGTGGCCTTTCATTAATTTTATAAAGGGCGGTTTCATTGTTAGATGCCTTTTTAACATCTATGAAGATATAATTTTAAAGATATATTAATATGAAGCATTATGTTAATGGATTTTTAAAAACATTGACTCTTTCTTATATTCCTGGAATAAACTCTGTTGGTTTGTGATGTATGAGGTGCTCTGTATACACCTGCTCCCCAGTGAAACTGCTGAAAATTATAAAAAACAAACAAGCATTTAAAGTCTTTGGAAATAGCCTTCAGGGTATAATGCAAATGAAGAAACATTTATTCAAGAGAATCTACTAAAACCCAGAAAGAATTGTAAGAGTCTGTGATATTTGAACCCAGATCTCTACCCTCCCTCCTTTCTCCCAGCTCAGTAAGACAAAAACTCCACTTTACAGTACAGGGCTTTTCTCCCATCTCCCAGTTGAGGACTATTTTACTGAGAGAGGTACAACATCAGAATGCTCCCCTGCCCCCATCTCTGTTGCTGAGGCTAGGTTCTGGGCAAGTGCAGGCAAGACGTAGGGGCTCCCTTCTTCTGCCCAGCTCCTACTTGTGGAATGGAGTCTCTAGTTTGTGTGTTGCCACTGAGAATACTAGGGCCCTGACTGCCTTTAACCTGGCTCATGGGGCAGGGGTTCTATGCTGTGACAGGCAAGCAGAGGAGACCTGGAGCTACTGCACCCATCACCAAGAGCTCAGCTCCTAAAGTGGGGTTGTCACTCAGAGAGAAATACATCATTAGTCCCAAACCCAGGTCCAGAACCCTGGCTCAGAGATTTAGCCTGCAGAGAGAAGCAAGCCATAGATTAGAGAGCTCCAGTTCCTCATCAAAGGAGCTGACTTTATTTGTAACAGAGTGTGGAGAAGTTCAAGCCTAAAGGAGCTCTCAAAAGTAGTGAAACTTGTGGCGAAGGTGACTGGGAGGAGATTGATAGATTCATTGAGGATACAGGCTAAACTGTAGGCTGCATAGTTTGCCAGAAAGAAATAGGGAAAGAGAAAGTTGGAAAGAGCCTTCCTGAGGTCATAATGAATTTCAAACAGTAACTTTGGGAACTATACCTTCAAAGCAACCCAAATTTGTTTGGATTCATGGGGTGAAGCAATTTCTATCCCAGGGCATTGTTTGAAACAATAGATTCATCCACCAGCAAGCAGTAAAACTTAACTGCTGGATGGGGTCAGGGAAAGAGACAGTAAAAGAGAACCCTGCCAAAACCATTGTCATGCCAGCATGACTGTGGGCATATCTAAGGCTACACTCCCTGAAAAGCACCATCGGGGGTAAATACACTTCACTTTACTGAAATAATTCATCCAGTAATTAAACAAGTAAACAAGCAAACAATAAGCCCTGAAGGGAGTAACCGCTACCCAGAGTTGCTACAACATGTTATCTAAAATTTTTGTTTTAAGCCAAAAATTACAAGACATGCAAAGAAACACAAAAGTATAAGCCATATACAGCACAACAACAACAAACGAATCAATCAAGCAAAAAACGCGCAACAGAAACTGTGAGTGACCAGATGTCCAATTTGATTAAGGACTACAAAGTAGCCCCTAATTATGTTCAAAAACTTAAATGAAACCATAATTAAAGAAATAAAGGAAGGCATGAATATAATGTCACATCAAATAGAGACTAGCAATAAAAACATAAAATGAATGAGATCCAAATGGAAATTCTGGTATTGAAAAGTATAATAACTGAAATGAAAAATACACTATGGGATCAGTAAATTTGAATTGGCAGAAGAAATAATTTGTGAACTTGAAGATATATCAATAGAGATTATGCAGTCAGAAGAACAAAGAGAAAAAAGAATGAAGAAAATGAAAAGAGCCTCAGAAAAATATCAAACACCATTAAGCACACCAACATATGCAAAATGAGAGTATTAAAGGAAAAAAGAAAGAGATAGGAATAGAAATATATTCCAATAAATAATGGCTGCAAACGTCCCAAATATTTTAAAAACCATTATTCTACACACTCAGGATACTCAATGAACTCTGAGAAGGATAAACCCAAAGAAATCCACAAAAGACACATCATAATAAAAATAAAACTTTGATTCGACATTGTACTAGAGGTTCTAGCCAAAGAAATTAGATTTTAAAAAAAGAAATACAAAACATCTAGATTAGAAAGGAAAAAGTAAAACCATCTTAATTTTTAGATAACAGTATCTTTTACATAGAAAATCTGAAGGAATCCACTAAAAGCAGAGCTAATAAACAAATTCAGCAAAGTTGCAGGATGCAAAATCAGCATATAAAACTTTGTTATATTTCTATACAATTATAACAAACAATCTGAAAATGAAATTAAGAAAGCAGTTCCATTTATAACATCAAAAAGAATAAGTTAGTTAGGAATTAATGTAACAAAAGAAGTGCAAACCTTATACTCTGAAAATTATAAAATGTTGAAAGAAATTAAAGAAGATATAAATAAACGGAAAAACGTTGCACATTCATGGATTGGAAGACAATATTGTTAAGATGGCAATACTCCTTACATTGATCTACAGATTCAATTAAATCTCTATCATATTCCCAGATTCCTTCTTTGCAGGTGACAAGCTGATTCTAAAATGCATATGGAATTTCAAGGGACCCAGAATACCAAAACAAACATAAAAAGAATGAATTAGGAAAACTCACACTTTGTGATTTCAATGCTTACTACAAAGCCAGGGTAATAAAGACAGTGTGGTACTGGCACAAGGAAAGACACATAGATCAGTGGAATAAAACTGATAGTCCAGAAATAAAGCTATATATGTATGGTCAACTGATCTTTGACAAAGATGCCAAGACCATTCTAGTCCTAGAATTCTAGAAATAGTCTTTTCAACAAATGGCGTTGGGGTCGCCGCGCAGAGCCGGAGCAGGAGCCACGGCCGACAGGAGGGAGGAGGAGGAGGAGGTGGAGGAGGCGCCGGACCAAGGGGGATAGATTCCCAGAAGTGGGATAACTGGATCAGAGGGTGATTACCCTGTGTATAAGAGTGTGTGTCTCACTGCACCTTCAATGGCATTGAGTAGATTATCAGTATTTAAACAGTCGATATCATGCATGAGTACAAGCTAGTGGTCCTTGGTTCAGGAGGCGTTGGGAAGTCTGCTCTGACAGTTCAGTTTGTTCAGGGAATTTTTGTTGAAAAATATGACCCAACGATAGAAGATTCCTACAGAAAGCAAGTTGAAGTAGATTGCCAACAGTGTATGCTCGAAATCCTGGATACAGCAGGGACAGAGCAATTTACAGCAATGAGGGATTTGTATATGAAGAATGGCCAAGGGTTTGCACTAGTATATTCTATTACAGCTCAGTCCACATTTAACGACTTACAGGACCTGAGAGAACAGATTTTACGGGTTAAGGACACAGAAGATGTTCCAGTGATTTTGGTTGGCAATAAATGTGACCTGGAAGATGAGCGAGTAGTTGGCAAAGAACAAGGCCAGAATTTAGCAAGACAGTGGTGTAACTGTGCCTTTTTAGAATCTTCTGCAAAGTCAAAGATCAACGTTAATGAGATATTTTATGACCTGGTCAGACAGATAAATAGAAAAACACCAGTGGAAAAGAAGCAGCCTAAAAAGAAATCATGTCTGCTGCTCTAGGCCCGTAGTCAGCAGCAGCTCTGAGCCAGATTACAGGAATGAAGAACTGTTGCCTAATTGGAAAGTGCCAGCATTCCAGACTTCAAAAAATAAATCTGAAGAGGCTTCTCCTGTTTTATATATTATGTGAAGAATTTAGATCTTATATTGGTTTGCACAAGTTCCCTGGAAAAAAAAAATTGCTCTGTGTATATCTCTTGGAAAATAAGACAATAGTATTTCTCCTTTGCAATAGCAATTATAACAGATGTGAAGATAAATATACTTGACTCTAATATGATTATACAAAAGAGCATGGATGCATTTCAAATGTTAGATATTGCTACTATAATCAAAATGATTTCATATTGACCTTTTTAACATGATTCCTCCCTGTCAAGCACTAAAAAAGTTGAACCATTTTACTTTATATCTGTAATGATATAGATTATGGAATTTCCCCTCAAACTCATTGCAGCAGATAACTTTTTTGAGTCATTGACTTCATTTTATATTTAAAAATTATGAAATATCATCTGTCATTATATTCTAATTAAAATTGTTTGTGCATAAAAAAAAAACAACAAATGGCGTCGGGACAACTGGCTAGGCACATGCAAAAGAATGAAGTTAGATCGTTACTTTACACCAGATACAAAAATAAACTCAAAATAGACCAAGATCTAAATGTAAAAGCTAAAGCTATGAAACTATTAGAAGAAAGCTTAGAGGTAAACCTGAATGACTTCAGATTTGACAATGGATTCTTAGATTTGACACCCAAAGGCACAAGTAACAAAAGGAAAAATAGATAACTTGGACTTCATCAAAATTAAAATCTTCTCTGCTTCATAGGACACTATCAAGAAAGTGAATAGACAACCCACAGTATGGGAGAAAATATTTGCAAATTACATATCTAATAACAGATTAGAATATATAAAGAACTTTTACAACTCAATAATAAGAAAAAATTAACCCAATTAAAATGTAGGCAAAGGATCTGAATAGACATTTCTGCAAAGAAGGTGTACAAGTGGCCAATATGCATATGAAAAGATGCTTAGCATCATCAGTCATCAGGGAACTGCAAATCAAATCCACAACGAGATACCATTTCATACCCACTAGTACGGCTATAATAAAAATTCAAATAATAATGGGTATTGTGAGGATGTGGAGAAATCCTGGTGGAAATGTCACTTTGAAAAATAGTCTGGCAGTTTTTTAAATGGATATACATAGAGTTACCATATGACCTATCAATTCTGCTTCTAGGCGTATACCCAAGAAAAATAAAAACACATATACACAGAAAAACTATTACATGAATGTTTATAGCAGAATTATTTACAATACCTCTGGTTTGAAATAACCTATATTGTCATCACCTTATGAATGGATAAACAAAATGTTTTATGTCCATACAATGCTATAAAAAGGAATGAAGTACTGATACACACTACAACATGACTGAACCTCAAAAACATTATGTTGAGTGAATCAAAAAACAAAAGACCACATATTATATGATTTCATATGTACAAAATGTCCAGAATGGGCAAATCTATAGAGATCAAAAGTAGATTAGTGATTGCTTAGGGATTGGGGGGTTGGGGAAATAGGGAAGTGATAGCTAAAGGGTACAAGATTTCTTTTTGAGGTGATGAAATGTTCTAAAATTGACTGTAGTGATGGTTGCTCATATCTGTGAACATATTAAAAACCATTGAATCGTACATTTTAAATTGGTGAATTTGTGGTATGTGAATTATATTTTAATAAGACAGTTACTTTTTAAAAATAGAAATTTCCTAAGCTTTTGTGGTTTAATATATAGTCAATTTTTATGAAGGAGTTTAATTTATCATCGGGATACAAAGATCGATATACAGTTATGCACCCCATAACATTTTGGTCGATGACAAATTGCATATATGATGATAGTCCCATAAGGTTATAATGGAGCTGAAAAATTCCTATCACCTAGTGATGTAGTAGCTGTCATAACATCCTAGTGCAATGAATGACTCACATGTTTGTGGTGATGCTGGTGTAAACAAACCTACTGCGCTGCCAGTTGTACAAAAATCTAGCATATACAATTATGTACAGCACATAATACTTGATAATGATAATAAACAGCTATGTTATGGGTTTATGTATTGACTATGCTAGACTTTTTATCATTATTTTAGAGTGTCCTCCTTCTATTTAGGAAAAAATTAACTGTAAAACAGCCTCAGGAAGGTCCTTGAGTTGGTGTTCCAGAAGAAGAAATTGTTGTCATAGGAGGTGACAGTTCTATGTGTGTTATTGCCCCTGAAGACCTTCCAGTGAGACAAGATATGGAGGTGGAAGACAGTGATACTGATGATCCTGACCCTGTGTAGGGTTTCATTCTGTCTTCCTGGATAGAGTGCAGTGGTATCATAGTTCGCTACAACCTCAAACTCCTGGGCTCAAGTGATCCTCCTGCCTCAGCCTCCAGAGTAGCTGGGACTACAGGCACATGCCACCATGCCTGGCTAATTTTTCCATTTTTTTTATAGAGATGGAGTCTCGCTCTTGCTCAGGCTTGTGTATTAGTTTTTAACAAAAAAGATTAAAAAGTAAAAAGAAAAATAAAATAATTTTAAAATAGTTAAAAGCTTATAAAATAATGATATAAAGAAAAAATATTTTTGTATAACTGTACAATGTGAATTAAACTGTTATTACAAAAGAGTCAAAAAGTTTTAAAAAATTAAAATGTTTATAAAGTAAAAAAGTTACAGTAGGCTAAGTTTAATTTATTATTGAAGAAAGAACTTTTAAAAGTAAATTTATTGTAGTGTAAGTGTACAGCGTTTATAAAGTCTACAATAGTGTATAGCAACATCTTAGGCCTTCCCATTCACTCACTACTCACTGACTCACCCGGAGCAACTTTCAATTCTGCAAGCTCCACTCATGGTAAGTGTGTACCATTTTTAAAATCTTTTATACTGTATTTTACTGTACCTTTTCTATGTTTAGAAATGTTTAGATAGACAGATATTTACCACTGCGTTACAATTGCCTACGGTATTCAGTATAGGTTTGTAGCCTAGGAACAATAGGCTATACCATAGAGCCTAGGTGTGTAGTAGGCTATACCATTTAAGTTTGTGTAAGTGCACTCTAGGATGTTTACACCACGAGTGAATTGACTAATGACACATTTCTCAGAACATATCACTTCATTAAATGAGGCATGACTGTATATATATAACTTTATTGATTTAGTTACATTGCATACTGTATTAGTTTGGTAGGGCTGGCATAACAAAATACCACCAAATGGATGGCTTAAACAACAGAAATTGTTCTGGTGGCTAGAAGCCCAAGATCAGCGTCGGCAGGTTTGGTTTCTCCTGAGGACTCTCTCCTTGGCTTGCAGATGGCCATCTCCTTGTTTTGTTTTCACTTGGTCTTTCATCTGTGCATAATTCCATGGTGTATCTCTGTGTGTCCAAATTTCCTCCTCTTATAAGGACACCAGTCATATTGGGTTAGGAACCACCCTAATGACCTCATTTTAACTTAATCACCTCTGTAAAGGTCTTATCTCCAAATAAAGTCAGATTCTGAGATAATTACATTACATGTATATTATATATAATCAAATACACGATCATGTAAATTATACAAATATACTGAACTTTATCCTATTGTGGATAGATCTTTTTATTGTTCCTAATTTTTCACAATGACAAAATGTTAGGAAGCCCAGGTTATTCATGCGAAGATAGATAGTTTACATAAAGGAGCATCAAGGCATCAAATAAGTGAGTTAAGATTTCCTTGGACCTTCCAGCCAGCTTAGGCACCAATTGAATGCAGCTGAGTGCACAACATAAAACAGAAAACATTCCAGCTGAGTCCTGCCTTAATTCCTGACCACAGAATCATTAGAAACAATAAATTTTTGTTTTGAGACACTAAGACTTGGTGTGCCTTGTTATACAGTAACAGAAAACTGAAATGCCTATACCGTTGTAATGAAAATATTACTTTGCACTTTTTTCTAAAAGTTCTAAAGCTTTACATTTTGCATTAAAGTCTTTATTCAACCTAGAATACATTTTCACGTATTACGAGGGCTAGGAATCTGAGGTTGTTTTATTATACCATTTGTTGAATAATCCATGCTTTCCCCCACTGATTTGTAAGTTACATCCGTCACAGGCAAGTGGAACGGAATGAAGTGCCAAGAAATGAACTCATGCATTTATATAAATGCCATATTTATCTATCCGCATTGTAGAACCATACAGTATTAACTACTATAATTTTATAGTAGTTTTAATATTTGATATGGCAAGTAACACTGCTCCTGTACCCAGTTATTC